TGGGAGCCATCCTGCTTCCTGCCCCCATGGCTATGTTGTGGTACATAGACCCTGCACTGCAGCGCAAACCCGGAGCCGATCAGCTGGGAGAGAAGGGGGGAAAGAACCAGCAGCCCCTCTCCCTACAATCACCATGGGGGTTCACTGTGGATCTAACACAAAGGATGGGAATCCTGCTATGGGGCAGGACCCACCATGGCTCCTCGGCCCCTTCCCCCGGCCCAGCCTCCCTCCCTGGGGTCAGGCAGTGTTTGGCCGCGTGGCTCTTGCCGCAGGGATGGTCCTGGTGCTGCTGCTGGCTTGTCCTGCCCTCCTTGGGGCCCAGGGGTCCTGATTTCCTGCCCTATGCTGCTCAATGCCAGCAGCAGCGCTGTCCATCACTCACTGTGTGGGCTGGCTCCCCCCTAGGCGCCTGGGTCCTTGTGGGCATGGTGGGGGTAGGGTGATGGTTCCCAGAGGCCTCCCCGCCCCAGGCGTGCGTTGGGAACGGCTCTTGGCATGCCTCGTTGCGATGGAGCAGCTGGGCACTGTCTGGCCCCACAGCACCAAGGGGCTGGGCCAGGGCAGGTGGCTGGGCGCAGGAGGTGGAGGGGACGGGGTACCCAAGCTCGAAGCCGTGGGAGGGTGGTGTCAATACACCCCCATGCTGGAGGTGCCCTGCATGACAGCTGTATGATGAGCCATTTCACCCGCCCCAGCCTTCACCCACCATGTCACAGCCTTGGCCGAGAGGTGTCGTGTGTGGGCCGTGCCCTAGATACATGTGGGGTGGGCGCCTATCTGTGCCCCCGAGCGCCCGTGTGCCGACAGCAGCCTGCCTCTGGCCGTGCCCCAGACCAGCAGGCCTCGGAGTCCCACCCCTGTCCCAGGAGCACAGTGGGCTGAGCGGCCGCCAGCCAGGCATTGCTGGGCTGGGCACTGGCTCATGGTGGGGCTGCTGGAGGCAAACGCAGGACGTCCTGGCAGCAATTAGCAGCCCCCGCTGTGCTCCGGGAGGGCCCCGCTCTGCGGCTGGGGAGCAGAGCTCTCCCAGGGGCCCGGCAGGACTCGCCCTGGGCTGGGTGCCCTGCCATTAGGGGATGGCCCCGCAGCCTCCTGCCTGCCCGTGAAAGGAGTCCCTGGCTCTGCGCCCATGCCCTGGTTGGTGTGGCACGGGGGAGGCAATTGGCAATTGCGCCCGCCCGCTGTGAGGCGATTGTTTATTTTTGTACCAAGGGGAGTCGCTGGGGGCGCTGGCTGACGCTGTGACGTGCTATTGAACCAATAAAGTGTGTGCTGCAGTCGGGCACCGGGTGCTTCCCCATGGCCGAATAGAGAGAGCCTGGCAGAGGGGGTCCTTGGAGCAGCATGGGCGAGGGGGCTGGTGTGGGGGGACCCCTTGAGTCCCCCTTACATTACAGAGGACACCCCCTCCCGTGCTGCTGAGCCCATCTATCCCAGCCCCCCCTTACGGGCAGGGCCGTGGCCCTCGGTGCTGGGCGGGCAGCATGGGGTGCGTGCTGGAGAGAGGCAGCTGGTGCACCTGGCGCGGAGGCCGTGGCCCCACCGCCCTGGGAGCGGAGCTGCTGCCCCGGGGGCACTGAGCGCCTGCAGCCTGGATGCCCAGCTGTGTCCAGGGCCCAGCGGGGCAGCTCCTGTGACAGCAGCCCAGGAACGCTCGCCTGGGGGGTGGGACCAGCCAGATGTGGGGCTGGCTGGGAAACCTCAGCAAGGGGCTATTAATGGCCCCCAATGGCCATGCCCACAGCCAGGATGAGGCCTGCGGGCGGCTCGGTTCCGGTTTGTAATGTAGACTAGACGGCCCTTGGTCAGTGGCAGGGCACGACCTGGCCCAGCCCGTTGTAAGCAGGGTCCCTGGAGTAGCGGGCATGGCTCGGGCCTCGCCCTTGCCGGGCAATGAAGATACTGGTGCCCGCTACCTTGTCTTGCTGGGGAAGCTGGTGCCTGGCTGCCTCTTGCCGGGGGGGCTGTGCCCCTTCTTTGCAGCGACTCCACCAGCTGCTTTCCCTCTCCCGGGCGCAGAGGGTCGTGTCTGCGTTGGCAGCGGAAACGCCGCCGTGGCCCCAAGCCGAGCGAGCGTCGGGATGCCCCGTCTTCCTGCAGCTGGCAGCCCTTGGGGGCTGGCTGTGTGCATGGGTTCCTCGGGGGTGGCAGGTTCCGCTTTTGGTGGGGGAGGGGGTCCCACCACAGCGGAGCAGTGACAAGCCGCTTGAAAAAGAGGAAAATGTGGTCGTGAAACCACACCAACTGGCGGGCCCCAGAGCTGCCCTTCGCTGGGGCTCAGTCAGCCTCCAGTTCACGGGGCCAGGGGCTGGCCTGGCCCCCTGTGCCCGGGTGACTGATGCAGCAGGGTCTGACCGAGCAGGAACTGGAGGGGAGGACCCCCGCTGCTGGAGTCTTGGCTTGTGCTAGCCCGAGCTGTGGGGCCCGCGTGTCCGCAGGCCCCGGCAGCGTTCTTCCCTCTCCGTAACCGCCAAGCGCCATCAGAAACAGCCCCTGGGAGGGCAAGGCGAAGGGCCGGGGCTGGAGCGGGCGAGGCGTTAGTCCCAGTGGGGGGGCAGGGGCCAGTCAGCCTTGGCCCCTGTCCATGCAGCAGAGAACCCAAGCAGCTGGCTCTGGCTTCAGCAGGCCCAGGAGCAGCAACTGGCCCATTTGACTCTCCCCCTGCCGGCAGGAATTCGACAGCCCCAGGGCAACCCCTGGCTTGGAGGGGATGGGCGAGGGGGCCCTTGGGGGATTCTCTCTAACAGTGCCCAGCCCCAAAGCTGCCTTGGGGGCAGCCCTGCCCAGCTTCGGGAACTTCAACCACGCTGCTGAGCCTCCCTGTCCTGCCGTGGGGCGGGGGCAGAGCATTTCCCCCAGCCCCTGGGATGTGAAAACCGCTATTGCAGGACCCCGGCACAGACTGCATGGGCTTCTCGTTGGCTGGGCTCTGGCGTGCTGGGATCGGCCGGGGTGCAGAGGGCTCTAGGGAAGGGCAAAGCTGTTGATAAGGGGAAACCTATAAACCCCTCCCTGCACCTGGCCTCTCTTCCTGCGCTGGGCATGACCCAGTAAGGAACAGTGGGGAGAGCACTGCACCTCTGGGGTGTGGATCCTACTGGGCGCCAGACCCCCGGCTGCCTTCTGCTGCGAACCATCACGGCCCGCTAACAAGAGCTTGCCCGCTCCAGCTAGCCTGCCACGGGCAATTCCACGGGCAGGGCTGAGTGCCAGGCAGTCCCAGGCCTCCGCCCTGCCTGGCTCCCGGTAGTTTAGACCCAGCAGTGGCAGAGGATGCTGACTGGCCCGCAGGCTGCGTTACCCTACTGCCCTCCCTTGAGTTTCAGCAGCAAACCCAAGCTCCACCTGTGTAGCCTTGGCAGGCCCATCTCGAGGGCCCCATGCCCCGCTCTCGGCTTGCCTCACCCACCCGGAGCGCCCTCCCCCCAGCCATTTCCGCTGGCTGCAGTATTCTTCGCTTCCTGTCCCAGACTGTTGTGCACCTTGTTAAACAGCTGCCCTGGGCCACTTCAGAGGGGGCTGCATGTCAGCAGTGGGCCCAGCAGCTTGGGAGCCTTGGGATCAGAGAACTGCAGGAAAGACTTTGGTCTGTCTCCCTGCGGAGGCTGGCGGAAAGCAGGGGCCCTTGGGTACAGCTCCAGCTCGCCCTGGGCAGCTCCTCACACGCCAGCAGCTTGGGTCCGGGCCCAGAACCAGAGGAGGTCACGAGCACTGTGGGAAGGAAGGTGGATACCAGCCCACAAGCAGGTTGACGTCATCCCAGCAGCTCTGCACCCACTGCAGCCGGGCCAGGCTACGGCACCTGCCCCCCTTCCCCGCTGGCCCAGGCTGTGGCTGGGGGGAGAGGGCAAGGCAGAGCATAAGCTCTTTGCCCCTCCCCTCATGGGGGTGTTCTGGCCCCCCACAAATCCAGCTGGGCGAGGCTGTGCCCTACTAAAGCTATAGCCCCACAAGCCGTGAGCCTGGCCATCTCCCACCCCAGGCAGGGCAGGCAAGAGGGAACCCCGGGGGGCAGTGGGGGGGCACTCCGGGAAAGCCCCGGGCCATGTGGAAAGCAGTGTTGTGAAGCCACCAGGTGGCTCTTTCTGTCAGCCACGTGCTGAGCCACCCCACACAGGGGTTGTGTATGTGTCTTTGTGTTCCCCCCCGAAGCATCAGGGACCACCAGAGCCGGGACCCTGGCCAGGGCGGACCAGCGCTCGGAGGCCCGTCACAGAACCCTCTTTCTAGTGGCCTGGCTGGCACGGTCGGAGACAGGCCGAGGGCCAGACGTGGGGTGAGGAAGGAATCCCCCCAGCTCAGATTGGCAGGGAACAGGGAGAAGTGGGGGGTGTTACCTTTCTGTGCAGCCTGGAGCCCAGCTCACCAGCGAGGATCAACTGGGCGTCCCATTGCCTCAGTGCCTTGGCTCCCCACAGTCTCTGCCACCCACCCGGCGGTTTCCTGACGGCTGAAATGCTGGAGTGGAACCGCAGCCTGCGGGCCCAGGACAAGGGCGTCCGGGTGAAATGCAACAGCCGGTGCTGGACAGGGGGTCGGACCAGAGGAGCCGATGGTCCCTGCTGGCCCAGCGCTCTCGGGGCTGGGTGCTGTGTTTTCACTGAAACCCTAAACCGGGGCCCAGCCCATCACCCTCCCTTGGCGTGCACCCAGGTGCACTGAGCCCAGGCCCCCGGGCCCTGCTTTGGAGACACTGCTCCACAGGCACCCTCGGCTCGCTGGAGCAGAGCCAGGCAGCAGGGGGAGAAAGTGACCCACTTCCCCTCCCTGCCACGGCCTGCAGCGGAACAAAGCTGCATTGATAACAAGCCAAGCGGATCCTAACAGCATCAGCAGTTCCTCTTCCACAGGCCCAGCAGTGCGTTTGCACGTGGGTATGCCGTCCGCTACAGGGACTTTCCGCAGCCCCCAGCCTCCGCCTAGACCTCCGGCAGCAGCTGCCAGCCAGGCGAGCCTGGGCCCAAGGGCCCGCAGCCAGGGCAAGACAGGAGACTGGCTGTCACTCGTTAAACACCTTTTAATATTGCATATAGGACAAGAGCAACTGGACAGTGGCATGCAAAGCCAACTACGGCCTAAAGACTCCTTCCTTGTGCAAACAAAGAGCCGCCCAACTCGGCCTCAAACTCTTTTCTCTTGCCGGTGTGAGATGTTCTACGCCAGCTGGTTAATGACACTCACTGGAAAACTAGCGGAGGGAGGGCAAGCTGGCACAGGGCCTGCTGGCCACCAAGGTACCTGCAGCTGGGTAGGCAGGGAGCTGAGCTGGTCCCAGGAGCAGCCCCTTCCCCGACCCCCCACCCCTTGGACAAGTGAAGCTGCTGTTTTAAGGAGCAGCTGCATTCGCAGGCCCAGCAGCTGCTCAAGGTAGCAAAGCCCCTTCGTGCTTCAGAGAGACTGGGGTGTAAGACACAGTAATTGGGGCAGAAGGGGCTAGGCAGGTACAGCTCCTCTCTGTTTTGGAAGTCACCCAGCTGCCAGTCACTGCACTGCCTCAGCCCCCGAGAGCTGTCTACACTAAGGCTTGAGCCCTCGAGTTAACCTGGCGCCAGGCCAGCCAGGGTAGCTCACCCATGGGATCAGGTAAGTCAAGGTGAAGGGCTCTGGTGTAGACAATCCCCAAAGCACCCACCTCCCACTCCTGATCTTTGACGCAGATGGGAACAGGGACCAGGCAGCTTCACAGCTTAGGGGGCTGCCCGACAGCTGGGCTCTGCTCTAGACCCAGGCACAGAGGGGACGGGCAGTCACTCCAGAAGACACCTCCCCTCCCCCGGACCTATGCCCAATGCCTGAGCACAGCTGACTGCCTGCAGGGGCTGCCCCTTAGACCCAGCAACTCAAGGGAGCCCAGCTGATTGCATCCCGCCAGCGTGACCTCCCGCCTCCCTCTGGGGCTGGGCTGGCTGCAGCAACCCCCATGCCCCAGTGGAAGGGGGAGGAGGCTCAGAGCCTTTGTCGAGTCACCACCATTTCTGGCTGTTGGGTGGCAGGAGCTCTGGGGGCTCTCCTCCCTGCCCTGCTAATTAGCGAGGCCTTGCTGGAAGGGAGGGGCTCCCCCCCAGGAGTGGGGCCCTGTGCCCAGAGGAAGGCATGGGAGGGCAGTGGGGTGAGCGAGGAGGAGAGGGAGCGGCTGATGCAGCACACACTCTGCTCTGCCCCCCGGGCGCCCTGCCTGCCCTGACCCACTGCAGCTGGGCCCTGGGGGTGGGAGAGACAGTGGCTGAAGCACCAGCCAGAGCTCTCCTCGTGCCTGCTGGTGTGACACATGGAGCCCTCGGAAAAGTTCCTCCCGGGCCAAGGGCTAGCGCCTGACGAGCGGCCAGCGATTGCCTGTGGGGCCCAGAGCGCGGACAGCGCCACCCGTGGGGATCTGGGCTGGAGGCGTTAGATCCGACCAGTTCCCTATGCCTCCCTCCTCCAGAAACCAGCTGGCCGGCAGCTCCCAACTCACGCTGACCCACACAAACCCTTGCGTGTGCTCCCAGCCCATGCAGCCTCCCCCCTGCAGACAGTCAGCAGGGCTGAGAGCGCAGCCAACTCCAGCCAGAGTTCGTGGGAGCCACGGGGGCTCAGCACCCGGACAGCCTGGCCCCCTCTTCCCATTGAAATAGATGCACGGCCGCGCTCAGCCGCCCTTAAACCCAGCGCTGCCCCAGGACCCTTCACGGGCAGTTTAGGTTTCTTTAAAATGTTCCCTCGCCCATTTAAAAAACAAAACCCCCTTGGGAGGAGCAAACCAGGCAGGGGCTGTGAGCGTGGCCGGGTCTCCCATTCCAATCCCAGCCAAGCAAGCCCTGCCCCGAGTGGCTGCATTCACACAGGGAGCCGACCAGCGTCTGGCGTCCCCCCAGGAGAGACGGGACCTGGGCAGGAGAGGGGGCGAGCGGGTCCCCGGTGGCCCTGACTCAGCCGGGGGGGAAGGCCGGGGAAGGGCCAGCCAAGGCTGACACAGCACCCCGCGTTTCTTGGAAGGCTGAGAGGAGGTTAGAGCCCAGGGCCAGGAACAGGAAAGGAGAGGCCGGGTCTAAGTTTGCCTCCTGCACTTACAGACACCAGCCGGCGCTGCTAGGGCAGGCGGGGCCTCGCCGCAGGCAAGGGGCAGCCAGGCACAGCTGCCGGCCCCAGGCCTGAGCTTGCGGCCGCTCTGTGGTTTCATTAGGAAATCGGCCGTTCACCACTCAGGGCAGCTGATGAGCTGATCCCCCGGGGGGGAGAGACACTAGCAAGGCCATGAACGGACGGGGTTGCCGCTGGCAAGGGCACCTCCGGCCTGAGCCCAGGCAGCGGTCCCGGGGACCAGCCAGCCAGGAGCTCAGGAGCAGAAACAGCCGCAGTGGGGAGGTTTTAGAGACTGGGTCCAGGCCAGCAGTGCCCACGTGAGCGGGTTCATTCACCAGTGATCCCGTGCTGCCAAGGGGCATGCCTGCTCCTAAACAGCCTGGCCGTGGGCAAGTTACAGCAGGGGACTTTCAAAAACAAATGAAGTGAAATGGGAATTTGGGTTAAGACCTTGTACTTTATCCCCCACGCTCCATTGGTAGAGGGCAGGAAGCCAGCGTTTAACTCAAAGGGGTGCTGTAGGCCAGGAGGGGGGCTCTCGCATGCAGTCAGAGCTCTCCCTCTCTCTCACACTCCTTCTCTGGAGAAACTGCCTCAGCTGTAAAAACCCCACAGACACCCCAGTGATCCTCCCCCAGGTCTTGCCTGGGCCGCCCCTCTCACCCCATGGACTCATGAACGGTGCAACCTCTTGGGAGTCTGTTTGAGGCAGGAAGGTTTAACTAGAGTTGGTCTCTGCCTCTGGAAATGGGGGGAAGCTGGCGTCTGCTGCCCCACCCCAGCTGTTGCAGGGGGCATCCCCTACCCACGCTCGCTAGGTTGTCACTCCCATTCCGTCCACACGGCTGTTCATACAGCATCGCTCGGGTCACAGCCCGGGCAAGGAGTCCTGCACGCTCCCGTCTGCGGCGGTGTTTCTGGGGCGGCCTTGGGGCCAGCCCTGTGCTGTCTCGGCGGGGCGGGCGGCGGGAACGGAAGGCCCTGCAAGATGTCAGCATAAAGATCGTCCTGAGTGCACTGATGCTGCGCCACTTTGTGCAACAGCGGCTTCAGCAAGGCCAGGGTCAGCGGGGCGCCCCCGGCGGAGAAGGGAGCCGGGTCGCCCTCCGAGCGGGGGAGGTGCTGCAGGACGATGCTGAGAACGTCCGAGACGGTCAAGTCTGCGGGGCACAGCTCCCACAGGGTGGCCAGGTACGGGTCCAGGTCCCGGTGCTGGGCGAACTGCGCCAGGAGGGTGGAGAAGATCTCCTTGGTGAGCAGCGGGCTGAGCTTGGAAAATTTCTCGGCCGCCTCCACCACCCGCTGCCACCTGCGGAGGCGGACGAGCAGCTGCACGGCTTGCAGGACGGCCTTGGGCCGCGCACTACACAGCAGCAGCTCGATCTCCATCTCGCGGTCGGTGGCCGTGCGGTGGCGCGTCCGGTCGAGAACGGCCAGCGCTCTCCTGTAGAGGGGCACCCCGCCCTCGGGGCCCTCCTTGGTGCTGTATGTCCAGGAGGTGCCAAGGTACTGCTGGGTCAGCTCCACAAAGCTGGGCAGCCACTTGGGTTTGAACCTGTGCAGGGAGCCGCAGATGAGCTCGAAGAGCGGGACCGCCCCATTGACGCCCCGCTCCTCCTGCTGGGACCAGTTAGGGACTGGCCCCCCCAAGACCTTCTTCCAGATGTCTGGGGTGGCCCTGGCCACCAGGAGCCCGTCTCCATTCTGCTGCAGCTGCAGGCTGCCCCGGATGGCTTTCCAGGAGGCCCTGGGGAAGGAGCTGAAGACAGCGTTCAGATAGGCCAGGTTCTCCCTGTCCAAGTCCAAGTGTAGGAGGCGGCTGACCTCCTGCTCCACCAGCTCCTCGCAGCACCTGTCGACTTCGCTCTCCGAAGCGCCCACGACGCAGGACTTGAGCAGCTCCAGGCTCAGGTAGCTCTGGAGATCCATGCTCATCGTGCTCAGCAGCTTGGCGTAGGTCTCCGGGAGGGCCCTGGCTGCCCTCTCCTTATCGGGGAGGCTGTGCTGCAGGATGGAGGAGAGCGCAATGGGTGCCTGGAACATGTCCCCCTTCTTCAGCTTCTCCACCGTCAGCTGGGAGCTGCTGAGGCTCCGCCTCTGGTAGTACTTGCAGGCTTCCTCGAAGACCATCTCCACCAGGGCGGGCTCGGGCCTGCCGCCCTCCTCCGGGCTGGAGAAGCTGAAGTGATAGATGCCGGCCGGGGTGAGGAGCTGGATCTCCTCCGCCCCTCTCGGGGACTCCAGGAAATGCACCTCTTTGGTGCTCAGGAGTCTTTTCTCAATCAGCCTCCCACTGGTCAGGTCAATGAGATACAAGACCCCCGCCAGCACGCAGGCCAGGGTGCTGCCAAAGGCCTTCAGCTGCACGGGGTCTCCTTGGGCCAGGCAGCTGCCCCCCAGATCATAGACCTGTCTCCAGGTCCCGTCTGGCTGAACCAGACGCACCGTGCCTCGTGTGCTGAGCAGCAGGAGCCCCCCGCAGCTGGACAGGGCACAGGTATGAATGTCCAGAGGCGCTATGGACAACAGGAGACCCACGGACCCAAACACGAGCTTCTTGAAGTCACTGGAGTGCAGGACTTTGCTGTGGACGATCCCGCCAGACGGGGCCACAATGGTGACTTTAGCCTCCCGAGGGCACCAGATGAGCAGGAACGTGGAGACGCTGGCAAAGGTGGCACCGGTGGGCACCAGGAAGACATGCTGGGGTGAGGCCAGGACTTGGTACTGGGGGCTGTTGTGCACCACTATCCTCATGGCGCCCAGGTGTGCCCCCTGCTCCCCCAGCTCCAGAGCCCTGGTGCAGATGCAGTACCCGAAGGCCCCCCTGCCTGGGTCCAGATGAGCGTCCGAGGGGGGCCTCTCCTCGCACCAGACCAGACTGCCTCCCTGGCTGCAGATGGAAACAATCCGAGCCCGGGCCCCATGGCACAACTCCAGGGTCTGCTGCAGCTGCCAGCCCAGCGCTGTCACGAACCCCCACACCTCGGTCCTGCCCTGCTCCCAGACGACGGCCAGCACCCAGGAGGTCCGCGCTGCGGGGCTCTGCAGGAAGAGCAGTTCCGTGATGGGGGGCTGGGGCGGCTGCCAGCTCCTCTCCAGGTCCCCCGCCCCGGTGCCCAGGCGCTGGAAGGCGATCACCTGCGGCTGGAGCGCCGGCCGACCACGCAGGAGCAGCAGGAGGTGCTGCCCATCTGGGCTGGTCTGGACGTGGGGGGTCGCCAGGCCCGGCCCATGCTGGCTCAGCAGCTCCCGCAGGCGCCGGCCGCTGACAAAGTCGCTGAAGTCGGAGACCTGCCGCAGCGCCCCGGCTCGCTTCATCTCGGGGCGCCTGGCGCAGCCCCCGCCAGCATGAGGCGGGGCAGAGAGGGCCCTGGCTGCTGAGCTGTCACCACTGCCTGAGGCTCCCCAGACACCCCCCGCCCCGGCTCGCCCTGGCTCCCCCGGGGGCTCCCCAGACACCCCCCGCCCCGGCTCACCCTAGCTCCCCCGGGGGCTCCCCAGACACCCCCCCGCCCCGGCTCGCCCTGGCTCCCCCGGGGCTCCCCAGACACCCCCCGCCCCGGCTCGCCCTGGCTCCCCCGGGGGCTCCCCAGACACCCCCCCGGCTCGCCCTGGCTCCCCCGGGGGGTTCCCCAGACACCCCCCCCCCCCCGGCTCGCCCTGGCTCCCCCGGGGGCTCCCCAGACACCCCCCCCGGCTAGCCCTGGCTCCCCCGGGGGCTCCCCAGACACCCCCTCCCCGGCTCCCCCCCCCCCGGGGCCCCCAGCTCCCCCTGGCCCCCCTGGCTCCCCCGGGGGCTCCCCAGACACCCCCCCCGGCTCGCCCTGGCTCCCCCGGGGGCTCCCCAAGCCCCGCGCCCCCCCCCGCTGGCTGCGCCTGCCCGGCCTGCGTGCGCCCCGGTGGCCTGCTCCGCGCGTCTCTGCGCCGCGCCCCGGCCCTGTGCTCCCGGGCGCCCGCTCGGAGCCGGGCCGATCGCCCAGCGCCGGGGCCGGGCCGCGCTCAGCTGCGCGCCCCGCTGCGATCACGAGGCCCTCGGCTTCCGGGCGGAGCCGCGTCTCCCTCCCCGCCCCGCGTCCCCAGCCCCGGCCCTTGTACTTCCGTCCCTGCCCGGCGAGGCTCGACCCGGACCCCGGCCGCGCCGCCCCCGCCCTGGCCCGCCCCCCGGGGGCCGCTCGGGGGCGGCCCGGTGCCATGGGCCGGCCACCTGCCTCTTCCCGCCCCGGGCGGGCCCCGCCACTTGTGTCGCGAGTTTGGAGGAGCTCAGCGGCCGGGAGAGTCAAGGGGGTGCCCCAGGGGCGGGTGGCCGCGGGCCCCAGGGCTGCACCCCACGCGTACAGGGTGGAGCAGGACAGAGAGGGGGCCCGGCCCGGACCCTCCCCTGGCTGATGGGAAGGATTGGGGCCTGAAAAACACTCTCTCAGGAAGAGAGACTGAAAGGGTGGGAAAGAATCCTTTGCCTTAGGGGGAGAGCAACAAAAGGGGACCCCATACAAGTGTATAAAATAACCGCTGGGCCACGTCTCTTGTCCCTGTCTCCGAACGGGGGAGCCGGGGGATGTTCGGTTATGCTGAAAGGTGGCAGATTCGAACCGATAAAAGGAAATACTTCTTCACACAACACATGCTTAAACTGTGGAACTCACCGCCACAGTATGTCTTTGAGGTCAAGAACTTATTCAGATTTGATGTGGGGTTGACCGTTGATGTGGAAATGTCCAGTTGATAGTTGATGCTATGAAAGTTTTAGAGGAGACGCAAACCCTCGTGCTTCAGGATTTAAGCCAGGGGTGGGCAAACTTTTTGGCCCAAGGGCCACATCGGAGTTGCGCAACTGTACAGAGGGCCAGGTAGGGAAGGCTGTGCTCCCCAAACAGCCTGGCCCCCGCCCCCTGTCCACCCCCTCCCACTTCCCGCCCCCTGACTGACCTTTTCAGAACTCCTGACCCGTCCAGCCCCCCCTGCTCCTTGTCCCCTGAACTGGGACCCCCTGTCCCCTATCCAACCCCCTCCACACCCCCGACCCCTGACAGCTCCCCTGGACTCCCTCCCCCATCCACCCATCCTCTGCTCCTCGTCCCCTGACCGCCCCCTCCCAGGACCCCCTGCCCCTAACTGCCCCCCAGGATCCCACCCCCTTATCCACCCCCCCGCTCCCTGTCCCCTGACTGCTCCCCCACCTCCTATCCACACCCCACCCCCTGACAGGCCCCCCAAGACTCCCACTCCCAACCCTCCCTGTTCCCCTGACCGCCCCCCCAGAACCTCCACCCCATCCAACCGCTCCCTGACTGCCCCCCGGGACCCCCCCGCTCCCTTACCTAACCCCCCTGCTCCCTGCCCCCTTACCATGCTGCTCAGAGCAGCAGGAGCTCGCAGCCACGCCACGCGGCCAGAGCCAGCCACGCTCCCCATGCTGCCCAGTAGGAGCAGCGGGCCAGAGCACTGCCCACGTGGCGATGTAGCTGTGGGAGAGGGGGAACAGTGGGGGAGGGGCAGGGGGCTAGCCTCCTCGGCCAGGAGCTGAGGGGCCGGGCAGGATGGTCCCGTGGGCTGTAGTTTGCCCACCTCTGATTTAAACCATCTCTAATGAAGAGGCGTCGGGAGGGATGAGACCTTCACAGTGTGCAAATTATCCCCCATCTGCCGATTCTGGGGGTTCCTGCACCTTCCTCTAAGAATCTGGTGCTGGTCACCATTACCAGAAACAGGATACTGGACTAGATGGACCCTGGGTCTGATCCAGGCCAGCAATTCCTAAGTTTGGACCAAGAAGGAGGATACGCTGGGGCATGCAGCCTCTGAAGGTTGCAATTTTGTCTTAAAGAGGAAGAATTTGTAGCACTTCTTGAGTTCCTTTCAGTGTTTTTCCCAGGAATTGAAATTAGGGGTGTGTGTTCAAATTTACAAGTGGGGGTGTGTGTCAGGGCCGATGAGGGGTGAGACCCTGAGGGTGAAGCTGGGCTGTATGGCACCATAGTAAAAACTGAAAAATATTTCATGACCATTTTATTAGATTTTAAAATCATCACACAAATTAAAGTTGACTACTCAAGCCTTCTATGAAGCACGACATCTACATCCTTCTTGGTTTCTTGTTATAATTTTGCACAACTCTGTTAATGAGCTTCTTGAACGCAATGCGTTCATCTTTGGTGGCTTCTCCTGTGTCCGGTACTTCCATTCCTTCAACCGATATGCTCATTAGTTCATTCCCATGATCAGGCAGAAGGCCTCTTCTCTCCGAACACAGCATTCTATTCCATGATGAAAAAGAACGCTCGACTGTAGCTGTTGTGACTGGGAGTAGCAAGAAATGAATTCCTACTTCTTTCAGCCCAGGAAACGTAGCACAAAGATCGGGTCGAGCCTCTCGTGATGATCAAAAAGAAGTTGAAGTCAAATCTCCATTCATTCGTCATATGATATTCCACTGTGTGTTCTAATTCTCTGTTCTGTCCTGAGCACATGGCAGCCCCAGGGCTGGTAGTGCTGCACTCGACTCAGCTGTCGGTGTTTTATAGGACAGGGATCTGTAAAAGCTACATAGAGGCTGAGTAGAATCTAGAAGTTGCTGTTGTCGATTTTTAAGAATCAAGTCTGTGTACTTTTTCGGTTGTCTTAACAAACACTTCTTGTCCTCTTCACTTAATGATTCTGTATAAATACCTTCATTAGTCAACTTCTGGACTGAAGTCTTTGCTTCTTCCAGTACTTTTTCAATGGATAGCTCTCTGATTGATCCAAGCGTAGCTTCTATTGCTGGACAAAGATCTACTTCGGTTGTAGCAGATGCCGATGACATTGTTTAATGACCGAAGTGGTTTCAACAGTAGACTTACAAGAGAGAGAATGGCGATAGTCTTCTGTAAATTTAGTAGCAGAAGTAATCCACCAGCCTCACTATTTAGATCCATCCCATCTTGGTAGATACTTTCCAAAGCCAGTAATAATGGCTGGAGTAATTTTAAGACAACAGCTAAGGATCGCTCATGAGAAAGCCAGAGGGTTTTCCCAGGTTAGACTAATTTGAACTTCAGTCCCAGTGTATCTTCTATATTGTCCAAGATATTCAGTCTTTTTGGACTCTTGCTGAAAAAAGAATATAATGAAGACATTAAATTTATAGCTTTTTAAATGTCTTTTGAAGAGTCCGCAGCTCGTACTAGCGCTAGTTGGAGTAGGTGGCCTCTGCAGTATGTATAGGAGAGACTAGGGTTACGCTTTTCTCTGAGCAAAGCTTGTGCTCCACCCTGTCTTCCAGAGAAGTTTGCAGCTCCATCAAATGCACAAGCAGCCATCTGTTTGGGGGCCCACTGACGAGCATTTAACTCTTCTAAGATGTGGGTTGTCACAGCTGCAGCCAATCTGTCCTCTATAACTTGAACATCTAGAAAGCATGTACTGGCCTACCGCTGACATCCAGATAATGTACACAATGACTTAATACTTGATGACCATTTGCACTGGTGCATTCATCAGCCATGTAAACAAATTTTTGAACGTGGTCAGAGAGGTCTTCACTTTTTCAACTGTTGAGCCTTTCACTGTTGCACCGCATGCATCTAGCCAGTCAGTTGAGTTTCTTGCAGAAAGGCAGTGAGCATTTGCTGGTCTTGTTCGGAACCAGTGTTCAACTTCAGGATGAACACGTGTCAATGCCCTTAGCATTGGCCTCCGGTCTGCCAGTGTGCGGCATCTCTTGCCTAAAGGGAAAGTAGGAGGCCACGGCCACGTTGGTTCGCATGTGTTGTGTCTCCAGCATTCTTACCAGCCTCATTAACACTCACCGGTGCTGTCCTGGGTCAGCGGGGACTCAGCGTTCAGAGGTGCTTTCACCTGAGTTCACCTCCCAGGTGGGGGGCAAGAAGGCGCCTCGCTCGTTCCTCCAGCTGCTCACGGTTCGCTCTGGCCTCTGTTGTTCGTTGTGCCACCGTTCACTCCATCGCTCTGTAGCCAATGGCCCTGCGCCGTCACCTTCGGCTGCCACCTCCACTGTGACCTCTGCCAGTGGGTCTCTTGAGGTTCCACCGGCTGTCAGTGATTTCAGCCGAGCTCTCGGGGGGAACCTCGCTGCGAGTGCAGACTGGGCCGTCTCTGCCACAGAAACACTGTCCCACAGCCGGTCGGAGCACTTAGACCTGATTCTCAGTGATTTCAGCCGAGCTCTCGGGGGGAACCTCGCTGCGAGTGCAGACTGGGCCGTCTCTGCCACAGAAACACTGTCCCACAGCCGGTCGGAGCACTTAGACCTGATTCTCAGTGATTTCAGCTGTAGTGGTCACTTAGCAGAACAAAAGACTCTCTATGGAGCCTAATCAGCTCTGTCTTTAAACAGTGGAGAGGGGCAGGTCAAACAGTACTTGTGACTCGGGCAGACCATCAAGGCTAAGTACGGTTCTACTGCCCTTTACTCCTACAATAAGAATAACAACATTTCTTCCCCCCCCCCCCCATTCAAGTGATTTGTAACCCAGCCCCAGCCAAAATCTATCACTTGGGCAACACAGCTCTATTTGCTGGATACCTGGGTAGATGAGGTGTGAATGTAAATACAGTCTGGTCCTGAAGCCTTTCCCCCCAGCCCCCAGCTCATCACTGGCTGTCAGGGAGAGCTCGTTTAGACTTTGCTTACAAATCATCATTTGAAATTATTAGGTTGGCCCACATCACCGAAATGAATGCACTGACATTGTCACAAACAGCTGTGGAAGGAAGCTAGTCTATGTTCCTACTTTTCAAATCTACGATACTTTTTCAGATACACGTATTTTATCATACACTGTGTATGCTTTTAAAGTGTGTATTAATGTTTCAATTTCAATTCACATTTCCAAACAATCACTAAACTGGCAACACTGTGTGTAACTAGTTCACAAAACTGGGGGGAGGGGGGTTGGGGAAATTCAGGGGGAGTAAACACCCCCATGGGGGGGTGTAGGGAAATCCCTGGTTCCTTTTCTGACACCCCCTGGCTTGCAAAATTTGGGATGGTCACGAAATGGCTGCGTTGCTTTGGCATGTACTCTCCTGCCCCCAGGAGTTCTCAGGGAAAGAGGAGACTGGCCTGGCATTTCAACACAACCCACCCTGTGTCATTCAAGGAATGAATCAGCTGTGATCTCAGAGGAGGGAAGGGTGCTGGCGGGCCGCCAGTCTGCTAGGAGGGAGGGAGAGAGTTCCTGTAAACCTGCTATTGAGTGGGAAGAAGGAATTCTGGAGTTTCATCCTCTGAGCAGTGAAGGAAGTGGTGGTGACCCAGACCTTTCTGACCTCACCTTCGGCCTCTGGGCCAAAACTGTCCCCAGCAGGGCTTCTTTCTCCCTTTGCCTTCAGGTTTCTGCCTCAGGCTGTTGATTTTTTGTTAACGATTGTTAGTGCCCAGTATAGCTTATGGGGGTGGGGAGAGAGACGGGGGATGGGATGCTCTCTTATTACTGCATCATTAACTCCTGTGAACTGCATGGCTGGTTGCTACACACTAGCCTGGCTGCAGGGCAGGGACGGCTGCCTGTGTGAAGGTTTGCGGATCAGTGCTGAGTCTTGCACCGTGTTGCAGTAGACGCGCTGACAGACTGTGCACTGGCTTGAGAAATGACAGAAATTCTGACTATACCCCTGATCCTGCTACAGGGTCTGCATTGAGTCAGGAGTCCTGGGCTTCAGAGTAGCAGCCGTGTTAGTCTCTATCCGCAAAAAGAACAGGAGGACTTGTGGCACCTTAGAGACTAACCAATTTATTTGAGCATGAGTGAAAAATACAGTGGGGAGATTTATATACACAGAGAGCATGAAACAATGGGTGTTCACCAGACACACTGTAACCAGAGTGATCACTTAAGGTGAGCTATTACCAGCAGGAGAGTAGGGGTGGGGGGAACCTTTTGTAGTGATAATCAAGGTGAGCCATTTCCAGCAGTTGACAAGAACGTCTGAGGAACAGTCGGGGTAGGGGGGGAATAAACCTGGGGAAATAGTTTTACTTTGTGTAATGACCCATCTACTCCCAGTCTCTATTCAAGCCTAAGTTAACTGTATCCAGTTTTGCAAATTAATTCCAATTTATCAGTCTCTCATTGGAGTGTGTTTCTGAAGTTTTTTGTTGACGAATTGCAACTTTTAGGTCTGTAATCAAGTGAGCAAAGAGATTGAAGTGTTCTCCGACTGGTTTTTGAATGTTATAATTCTTGACATCTGATATGTGTCCATTTATTCTTTTACGTAGAGACTGTCCAGTTTGGCCAATGTACATGGCAGAGGGGCATTGCTGGCACATGGTGGCATATATCACATTGGTAGATGCGCAGGTGAACGAGCCTCTGATAGTGTGGCTGATGTGATTAGGCCCTACGATGGTGTCCCCTAAATAGATATGTGGACACAGTTTGCAAAGGGCTTTGTTGCAAGGATAGGTTCCTGGGTTAGCGGTTCTGTTGTGTGGTGTGTGGTTGCTGGTGAGTATTTGTTTCAGGTTGGGGGGCTGTCTGTAAGCGAGGACTGGCCTGTCTCCCAAGATCTGTGAGAGTGATGGGTCGTCCTTCAGGATAGGTTGTAGATCTTTGATGATGCATTGGAGAGGTTTTAGTTGGGGGCTGAAGTGGCATTCTGTTATTTTCTTTGTTGGGCCTGTCCTGTAGTAGGTGACTTCTGGGTACTCTTCTGGCTCTGTCAATCTGTTTCTTCACTTCAGCAGGTGGGTATTGTAGTTGTAAGAATGCTTGATAGAGATCTTGTAGGTGTTTGTCTCTGTCTGAGGGGTTGGAGCAAATGCGGTTGTATCAAAGAGCTTGGCTGTAGACAATGGATCGTGTGGTGTGGTCTGGAGGCATGTAGGTAGGAATAGCAGTCAGTAGGTTTCTGGTATAGGGTGGTGTTTATGTGACCATCGCTTATTAGCACCATAGTGTCCAGGAAGTGGATCTCTTGTGTGGACTGGTCCAGGCTGAGGTTGATGGTGGGATGGAAATTGTTGAAATCATGGTGGAATTCCTCAAGGGCTTCTTTTCCATGGGTCCAGATGATGAAGATATCATCAATGTAGCGCAAGTAGAGTAAGGACATTAAGGGATGAGAGCTGAGGAAGCGTTGTTTTAAGTCAGCCATAAAAATGTTGGCATACTGTGGGGCCATGCGGGTACCCATAGCAGTGCCGCTGATTTGAAGGTATACATTGTCTCCAAATGTGGAGTAGTTATGGGTAAGGACAAAGTCACAAAGTTCAGCCACCAGGTTAGCCGTGACATTATCGGGGATAGTGTTCTTGACGGCTTGTAGTCCATCTTTGTGTGGAATGTTGGTGAAGAGGGCTTCTACATCCATAGTAGCCAGGATGGTGTTATCAGGAAGATCACCGATGGATTGTAGTTTCCTCAGGAAGTCAGTGGTGTCTTGAAGGTAGCTGGGAGTGCTGGTAGCGTAGGGCCTGAGGAGGGAGTCTACATAGCCAGACAATCCTGCTGTCAGGGTGCCAATGCCTGAGATGATGGGGCGCCCAGGATTTCCAGGTTTATGGATCTTGGGTAGCAGATAGAATGCCCCAGGTCGGGGTTCCAGGGGTGTGTCTGTGCGGATTTGTTCTTGTGCTTTTTCAGGGAGTTTCTTGAGCAAATGCTGTAGTTTCTTTTGGTAACCCTCAGTGGGATCAGAGGGTAATGGCTTGTAGAAAGTGGTGTTGGAGAGCTGCTGAGCAGCCTCTTGTTCATATTCTGACCTATTCATGATGACAACATCACCTCCTTTGTCAGCCTTTTTGATTATGATGTCAGAGTTGTTTCTGAGGCTGTGGATGGCATTGTGTTCTGCACGGCTGAGGTTATGGGGCAAGGGATGCTGCTTTTCCATGATTTCAGCCCGTGCATGTCGGCGGAAGCAATCTATGTAGAAGTCCAGTCTGTTGTTTCGACTGGGAGTGGATGGGTCATTACACAAAGTAAAACTATTTCCCCATGTTTATTCCCCGCCACCCCGACTGTTCCTCAGATGTTCTTGTCAACTGCTGGAAATGGCTCACCTTGATTATCACTACAAAAGGTTCCCTCCACCCCTACTCTCCTGCTGGTAATAGCTCCCCTTAAGTGATCACTCTGGTTACAGTGTTTCTGGTAACACCCATTGTTTCATGTTCTGTGTGTATATAAATCTCCCCACTGTATTTTCCACTGAATGCATCCGATGAAGTGAGCTGTAGCTCACGAAAGCTCATGCTCAAATACATTTGTTAGTCTCTAAGGTGCCACAAGTACTCCTGTTCTTTTTGAATCCTGGGCTCTGTCTCTTGGAGGGGAGTGGGGTTTAGTGGTTAGAGCAGGCGGGGGCTGGAGAGCCAGGACTCCTGGGTTCTCTCCCTGGCTCTGGGAGGGGAGGGGAGTCTAATGGTTAGAGCTGGGGGCTGGGAGCCAGGACTCCTGGGTTCTCTCCCCGGCTTGGGGAGGGGAGGGGAGTCTAATGGTTAGAGCAGGGGGCTGGGAGCCAGGACTCCTGGGTTCCCCCGGGCGGGGAGGGGAGTCTCAGGGTTAGAGCAGGGGGCTGGGAGCCAGGACTCCTGGGTTCTCTCCCTGGGGGGCTCTGGGAGCAGGGGGCTGGGAGCCAGGACTCCTGGGTTCTCTCCCCGGCTCGGGGAGGGGAGGGGAGTCTCATGGTTAGAGCAGGGGGCTGGGAGCCAGGACTCCTGGGTTCTCTCCCCGGCTCGGGGAGGGGAGGGGAGTCTCATGGTTAGAGCAGGGGGCTGGGAGCCAGGACTCCTGGGTTCTCTCCCCGGCTCGGGGAGGGGAGGGGAGTCTCATGGTTAGAGCAGGGGGCTGGGAGCCAGGACTCCTGGGTTCCATTCCTGGTTCACCACCAACCTGCTCCGTGCTCGCCCGGCCTGACAGCAGCAGGGGCGGCCCCTGGGGTATCTAGGACGGCCCGCGAGCTGCTGTTGCAATGGTGGGGGGCAGCCAATCCCCGCCCCGATGGACGAGCGCTAGGACCTGGCGGGACGCGGGAGGAGGCGGGACTGACGGGCTCCGCAGAGCGCACGCGCAGTGGGGTGGTGAGGCAGGTCGCGCCTGCGCGTGGCGGGCTGTGAGCCGCTCGCCCTCAGGTAAGTGCAGGGGGGTCCCGGCGTCTCCTTGGCCCCTCGGCCCCGCCCCCGCCCGCTCGACCCCCGTCGCCATGGCGCCGCGGGGGCCCCGCCCCCCAGGGCCGCCCTGAGCCGGGGCCCTGCAGCTCGGGGGGAGGCGGTGTCTGCTCCTGGGGGGCCCCGCGGGGGAGGTGCCTTGGGGGGAGGGGTCTGGGGGCTCTGCCCCGTCGGTGGGGGGGGGTTGGCCGGGAGGGGTCTGGGGGCTCTGCCCCGTCGGTGGGGGGGGGTTGGCCGGGAGGGGTCTGGGGGCTCTGCCCCGTCGGTGGGGGCGGGGGGGTTGGCCGGGAGGGGTCTGGGGGCTCTGCCCCGTCGGTGGGGGGGGGGGGGGTTGGCCGGGAGGGGTCTGGGGGCTCTGCCCCGTCGGTGGGGGGGGTTGGCCGGGAGGGGTCTGGGGGCTCTGCCCCGTCGGTGGGGGGGGGGGTTGGCCGGGAGGGGTCTGGGGGCTCTGCCCCGTCGGTGGGGGGGGGGGGGTTGGCCGGGAGGGGTCTGGGGGCTCTGCCCCGTCGGTGGGGGGGGGGGTTGGCCGGGAGGGGTCTGGGGGCTCTGCCCCGTCGGTGGGGGGGGTTGGCCGGGAGGGGTCTGGGGGCTCTGCCCCGTCGGTGGGGGGGGTTGGCCGGGAGGGGTCTGGGGGCTCTGCCCCGTCGGTGGGGGGTTGGCCGGAGGGGTCTGGGGCTCTGCCCCGTCGGGGGGGGTTGGCCGGAGGGGTCTGGGGCCTGCCCCGTCGGTGGGGGTTGGCCGGGGGGGTCTGGGGCTTGCCCCGTCGGTGGGGGGGGTTGGCGGGGGGGTCTGGGGGCTCGCCCCGTCGGTGGGGGGGTTGGAGGGGTCTGGGGCGCCCGTGGTGGGGTTGGGGGGTGGGGCGCCCTCGTGGGGGGTTGGGGGGGTTGGGGTGTCGTGGGGGTTGGGGGTCTGGGGACTCTGTCATGCACAGCTGGGGGAGGCTCCTGGATACAACTCTCATCCCTCTGGGTCTGTGCCCGTCACAGGCTGTGGGTACCCAGCACGGCCTGAGCCGGAGCGACCCGCCCTTACTGCGGCGATTACGCTGTGCGCTGGACATGCCAGGACGCAGAGCTCCATTCCCGGGAGCTCCATCACAGTAGGGTCCCCGCGGGTGTATTCTCCCTCGGGACTGCATGAGTGTGAGGGTTCACCCCATGTGGGTCCCGGGAGTGTACTGTCCTGTTGGGTTGCTGCCGGAGGCCAGGGTTCACCCCAGTTGGATTCCTGCAGGTGGACCACTGCCGTTGGCAGATGTTGTTTGAGGATATTAAGTGACAAATCTGAGGAACTGTCCCAGATTGAGGTGTCATTAGAGGAGCTTTTGGAACAAATTGATAAACTAAACAGTAATACGTCACCAGGACCAGATGGGATTCACCCAAGAGTTCTGAAGGAACTGAGATGTGAAACTGCAGAACTACTAACTGTAGCCTGTAACTGATCATTTAAATCAGCTTCTGTACCAGATGACTGGAGGAGAGCTAATGTGATGCCAATCTTTAAAAAGGGCTCCAGAGGAGACCCCGGCAATTACAGGCCAGTAAGCCTGACTTCAGTACCGGGCAAACTGGCTGAAACTGTAGTAAAGAACAAAATTGTCAGACACATAGATAGATGAACATAATTTGTTGGGGACGAGTCAACATGGTTTTTGTAAAGGGAACTCATGCCCCCCTCCACCCCGGCCCGGAGCCCCTTGCTCCCTGCCCCGCCCACTGGGCCCTGGTGTTTTTATAGCATGTTGAGGGGGCCTCAGCAAGAAAAAGGTGGAGAATCCTGCCCCAGGGTCTGTGCTGGGCCCAGTCCTATTCAGCATATTCATAAATGACCTGGAAACTGGAGTAAACAGCAAGGTGGCAAAATCTGCAGATGGTACAAAACTACTCAAGGTAGTTAAGTCCCAGGCAGACTGCGAAGAGCTACAAAGGGATCTCACAAACCTGGGTGCCTGGGCCACAAAATGGCAGATGAAATTCAGTGTTGATAAATGCAAAGTAATGCACATTGGAAAACATCATCCCAACTCTACATATAAAATGATGGGGTCTAAATTAGCTGTTACCACTCAAGAAAGATTTTGGAGTCATTGTGGGTAGTTCTCTGAAAACATCCACTCAGTGTGCAGCAGCCATCAAAAAAGCAAACAGAATGTTGGCATCATTAAGAAAGGGACAGATAATAAGACAGAAAATATCATATTGCCTCTATATAAATCCACGGTACGCTCACATCTTGAATAGTGTGTGCAGATGTGGTGCCCCATCTCAAAAAAGATATACTGGAATTGGAGAAGGTTCAAAAAAGGGCAACAAAAATGATTAGGGGTATGGAACGGCTTCCGTATGAGGAGAGATTTATGAGACTGGGGCTTTTCAGCTTGGAAAAGAGATGACTCGGGGGATATAATAAAGGTCTATAAAATCATGACTGATGTGGAGAAAGTAAATAAGGAGGTGTTATTTACTCCTCATAATACAAGAACTGGGGTCACCAAATGAAATTAATAGGCATCAGGTTTAAAACAAACAAAAGGAAGTATTTCTTCACATAATGCACAGTCAACCTGTGGAACTCTTTGCCAGAGGATGTTGTGAAGACCAAGGCTATAACAGGGTTCAAAAAAGAACTAGATAAATTCATGGAGAATAGGTCCATCAATGGCTATGAGCCAGGATGGGCAGGGATGGTGTCCCTAGCCTCTGTTTGCCAGAAGCTGGGAATGAGTGACAGGGGATGGATCACTTGATGATTCCCTGTTCCGTTCATTCTCTCTGGGGTACCTGGCATTGACCACAGCTGGAAGACAGGATAGTGGGCTAGATGGACCTTTGGTCTGATCCAGTATGGCTATTCTTATATCTGTCATTCACCTGATAGGTGTACGGACAGAAACTTAAAGTATGATAGATAGATTCCCCCCCAAGTTACATGGAGCTTGTAAAACAATTGATTTTTCCTATGCAGTATTGTATAGCAAATGTCCCATGGATGGAAGTGTTTTAATATGAGCGCTGTAATTCAGCAGTATTTGTAATACCGTATTTGGAAAAAAGTGACCTGTCCCAGACATGTGCTGGTGTTGCTGGTGGAGGGAGCTGTGCCAGAGCGTCTCAGTGGCTTCTTCTAATGTGGCCCTGGCTGGTTCCTTAAAACTCGGTTAGCATAAAATATTAGTTTTACAGTATGTAGTCTCAGAGTAACAGCTGTGTTAGTCTGTATTCGAAAAAAGAAAAGGAGGACTTGTGGCACCTTAGAGACTAACCAATTTATTTGAGCATAAGCTTTCGTGAGCTACAGCTCACTTCATCGGATGCATACTGTGGAAAATACAGAAGATGTTTTTATACACACAGACCATGAAAAAATGGGTGTTTATCACTACAAAAGGTTTTCTCTCCCCCCACCCCACACTCCTGCTGGTAATAGCTGATCTAAAGTGATCACTCTCCTTACAATGTGTATGATAATCAAGGTGGGCCATTTCCAGCACAAATCCAGGTTCCCCACCCCCACCCCCCCAGTCTGTTTTCCTCTAATCGCTGGTTGCTCCTTTCTTGGATTATTCACAAGATCACTACTGTGAATAGTGTGTTGGCTGTATTGCCATAGTGCCTATGGCAGTCAGGGATCAGGGCCCCTTTATGCTAGATGTTGTAAAGATAGAACACAAAGATGGTCCCTTTCCCAACGTCTTTACAAGAAGGCAAGAGACAATGGTGTGAATACAACAAACAAAGGGGGGAGGGAAGGAGCACACAGAAGATTAAGATCAGGGTGATCCGCAGTAGTCACAGCACACCAGCTGTTTAGGGTGTTGTAGGCATCATGGCAGAGGACAGTTTTAAGGAGGGATTTGAAAGAGGACAAAGAAACGGGTTTATAGATGTTAATGGATGCTCCTTCCATACAGAAAGGGCAGCGTGGGAGAAAGAGCAAAAGGTACTCATGGGAAATTTGACAAATAGACAATCAAGACTGACTTCATTGCCCGATCAGGGGGTGGGAGTTGTCCTCTTGATAGCCTGTGAGTGGTAGCAGCTTGGGCTGGGATAGCCTGTGTGGGTCCTGAAAAGTAAAGACCACTACTTAGTGCTTGATGCACTGGAGAAGGGGGAGCCAGTGAAGGGATGCGAAGAGTGGGACAATGTGGCTGTGGTGATGATCTTTGCAGCAGCATTTTGAATGCATGTAGGTGGGCCTGGGTGACATTTGTCAAGTCCAGAGAGGAGGAGGAGGGGGCTGCAGCGGTTGATGTGCGGGACAATGAGGGCCTTGCTGAGCATTTGATCTGTTCTAACACAGAGGAAGGGCTGGATCTTACAGCAGTTGTGCAGGAAGAAATGGCTTAAATTTCTGTGTCTAGTAGGAATATTTTTCTTTAAACGGTGCTTCCTGTAGTGGGGTGTGATGGGAGGAAGTATAGCTGCGTCTACACTAGTTGATTTATTTGAGCATGAGCTTTCGTGAGCTACAGCTCACTGCATCCAATGAAGTGAGCTGTAGCTCACGAAAGCTCATGCTCAAATAAATTGGTTAGTCTCTAAGGTGCCACAAGTACTCCTTTTCTTTTTGCGAATACAGACTAACACGGCTGTTACTCTGAAACTAGTTGATTTGTTTTTCAGCAATGGTGTGAACTCCAGGTTCGGCCAGACGGGCATTTTACCACAGCTTTGAGGGCATTAGAGGATATATTGGTGGTAATGCATGCATCCAGTCTACACCAGCTTTTATGCTGCTGCTGCTGAAAAATGGATAGGAAATTTTCTAGTGTAGACAAGGCCTATATCTGAGACACCAGCTCAGACGTTTTCTTGTCAACGAGTCAAACTATAAAGGTGATTTGCTTTTTGTGTAGAATATGGCATGGGAACATCTGGGCAACTCCTGCTGGAAGTACAGTCTCGGCTGTCATATAAGCCCCAGGGGTCTTTGAGGGGTCCTCTTTTTAGTGTTATTGT